TTGTGTCGTGACAGAACTGTTTGGGATTTCATCCTAATTTGGATAGGACAGTGAGGGCACACCATGTGCGTCAATGTCATTCATCATGTGGTGTAGAGCATGAGGAAAATGCTGAGAATTATAGAGCCAGATGACTCAACAGGCCTGTCTTCTCTCCCCCACCTCTCCTGCCCTCCACCACTACCACCGCCACCACCACCACTCCACCCCATCCAAGTTTTCACTAGACCTCAGCAAAATTAGAAAACATAAGGACCATGCTTAAACACTAACAAACAAAAAAACCACAAAAAACCTTGTGTGTCTTTTCTTGAGAAGGGTCGACCTTTAATCTGCCACATTTTCCTTTTTGTAGTAGATGAGGTATCCTCTAATACCCTTACTCAGCCGAGTTTTAAATGGCAACCCTGCATTTGCTCCCCCCATTTTAAGCTGGTCTGGGAAACCCGGTCTTCCTCATCGTTTCCTGACCTCACTACTGATGTCCTGGATGAACGTCCCAAAGTCCTTAGGAGCCTTTCTCTTTCCCTTGTCAGCTTTTTCCTTCACTTGTTTGCTAGAAGGCAGAAGGACACATAAGGAGAAGGCCGAGGATGACTGAGGTGTCCATGTTTGTGTCCCTGCCTTGGCAGGAAGCAGGAGGCAGGCCTAGACAGATAACTGGACTGGTGGATGCCGAATATCAAAGGCACTATGTTGCTATCTTGTCTCCTAGTTGCTTGTACCAAGGGAGAGAACACAGAAGGCAGTCAGAAGAATATTCTGTGTTCCAATCCCAGCTCTGCCATTGCTGCCTGTGCACCCTCAGGCCAGTCACAAAACCTCTCTGAGCTCCAGCTGCCGTCTCTGAGAACTGGGAGCTGAATGCTTCCCTCACAGGTTGTTACAGGGATGAAATGAGACAATGGAGCTGAAAGCATAATATAACCACACACTACCATGTCAGCCGTGGCCCAAATGGGTTTCACAGAATTTCCTGGTGATTTGTTCCTCCTTCAATACTAACACAGTGATTTGCACATAAAGGGAACTTGGGAAATGATGGTTTGTTTGACTGAATATTTAATGCATAGCGGGTTGGTATATGAAGAAGGATATTGCAGTTTCCCTTCCTACTGCCCAGTAACAGAAGCTGATATTTACTGTGAGGTAGTCTATTCTTTATTTTATTTATTTATTTTTTTGAGTTAGAGTCTCACTGTGTCGCCCAGACTGGAGTGCAGTGGCTGCTCCCAGCCACCGCAGCCTCGATCTGCTGGGCTCCGGCGATCCTTCCACCTCAGCCTTCCAAGTAGCTGGAACTACAGGCGCGAGCTACCAAGCCTGACTAATTTTTGATTTATTGTGGAGATGAGGTCTTGCCAAGTTGCCCAGGTGGGTCTTGAACCCACAGGCTCAGGCAATTCATTCACCTCAGCTCCCAAGGCACGGGATTACAGGCTCAGTCTTATTCCCAATTTCCAGATGAGAAAACTGAGGCTTAGAGAGGTAAGCACCTGTTTAAAACAGAACCAAGATGTGAATTCAGATCTGCCTGTAAGAGCCTGCATTCAAAACTGCCATGGCATGCTCCGAGTGTGTTCTCCAGTCCCTCAGATGTGTGGTGGGTGGTAAAGGGTGGCAAGTCATGACCTAAGTACGGGCTGAGAATATTCCCGGCATTGAGTAGCTGCTCCCCACCCCCAGGGAGCTGACAGACACCTTTGGCCTTGTTTCCCAGAATCTATTCATTTTTCCCCATCGCTTTCAAATACCTAACCCTCTTATTATTTTGATTCTTACCAAATGCTTCAGAGCAAAGTAATAAATGGTGACCGAGGTCAGCACCACAAAATAACGTGGGATATTGGGACCAGGCACATTGACTTTGGCAAGGCTAGGAGATAAGGGGGGCCCTTGTCTTCCTGTTGTCAGGAATAGCCTCACATCAGACATGGGCGAGGCTGTATAAAGCACACAGAGGGGCCCTCGGTGAGGAGGAGAGAGAGGACAGAGGGAACAAGGCTGCCCTGGCTTTATGTGCCATGATGGGCTGAATGGGATGGTGTTGAGCTTCAAGTATCCAGGCCGTGGGCACACTTATGTTATTAAAGGCTCTCTTGGCCTGGCACGACTTCTTTCTGGCCTGAAGCGTTCAGACACACACCCATTTGATTGATAAGGTTATTAAAACCTCTAGTTCTGCTATTTTTGATAGCCTTCTTTCAGCAGGATTTTTAAATCATGGCTAAATGACTCTAGCTGTACTATAATGAATGATACAGCCTTATAAAAAAGTCCCCTGCCTTTCTGTATTTGGAAACACATCATCTATAACCCTTCCTTTTTATTCTGTAAGTCTCATCCCTTTGGATCCCCAGAAGCATATATAGTGGTTAGGAAGAGCTCCTTGCAGCCGTAGTTCTTGGTAAACTTGCTGAAAATGTTGACCAAGTCCTGGCTGATACAATGGAGGCAGTAGAGAGCTATATGATACTAGTGCAGAGAGCTTTACAGTTTCCCAACATGCATACCCTTGGGGCTTGCAGCAGCTTTCTGAGAATGTGAAGGTGGGATTTAGCATCCCATTTCATAAAGGAGGAAACTAAGGCTTATGCCAGACCCAAGGTTACAAAGCAAGGAAGTAAGCAGAAGTCATTTCCACTCTAGAACTGGTATTCATACCTAAACATCCTAGCTTCATGGTCCTCCACAGTTCTCTTCAAGGTGCTGCCCAGGTAGCCGTCCCAGTGCCTGTTTCCCTCTTGTTCCTGAACAGTGGGCTTTGGTAATACCCTTGAAATTGAGTGACATTTCAAGAGGGTTGGAGCAGAGTTTGGGCAGCTGTCATGGCATCTGACTTTGAGGGCACTTGTGCACAAATGGCTGTCATTTTCCTTCCTGGCTCTTCCATGCCAGCACTTTTTGTCCCGAAGGATAAATTGAGTCAAAGTCTTTAAATGGAAGATGCCTAAGTAGCTGCTTCCACATTTTAAGTTGTTCCCACTTCTTAGAGGAGAGCAAACAATTGTGCCCTTGTCCTTTTATCCTTGTTGTAGTCACCACCTCTGACACACCCGTGTGAACATGCAGGAGGAGGCAGTAAGCTAGGAGGGTAGGGTGGACTTGGAGATGGACCGTAACGTTAATGAGCAAAGACAAAACAATTCACTGGTTTTTGTGAAATACGAAACCTGACCAGAAAGCATAATGAGATGATGCTTGGTAATTTGCCATCTTATATATAGAGACAAACAAAAACTGCTAATATCTGAGTGATACAAATGCCCAGAATTGATGAGATAAGTGGAACCATCTGTCCACTGGGAAATTGAAAAATATCAATGTTATGGGATGGTGGAGTCTGTGCCAGACTTCTCGCCTCACTCGAGGAAGCCGACCAAGTGGTGTGACACCGAGGGCTTCTGCAGCAGCAAAGAGCAGGATACAAGTGAGAGAACAGTCCAGAAAGAGTACCCAGAAGGCCTGAGGCTTGGCCAAACCAGAGCCAAGTTCACATGAGAACGGTAGATGCCAAAAGGGAAGAGCAAACATTAATCTCCCTGCTGGGATCACAAGAGCCACACCAGCGGGCAGTTCACAAATGCATTTTGACTGCCCACATTGTGCCCATAGGGAGGCTCTATGGATAGGGGTTAGGAGTGCCCATGCTGGGGGCTGGTCCTGGATCTGGATCCTAGCTCTGTCCCTAACCAGCTGAGGATCTCAAGCCAGTGACCGGTGAGCTTCTGCCTCTGTCCTTACAGGACCTAACTCTTAGGGTTGGTGCAGCAAAAAAGCTGTGTAGAAGCACGTAAATGCACTAGTAGGAGGAAACTTGCCAACTGTCACCTGTCATTACCTGCCCGTTAGTTACCATGCTAGGCATCTTGGGCTTCCATGACTGTGCAGTGGAAGCAAATTCAATTGGAAATGTGAAAAATACTGGAATAACATTATTTGGCTGTATTTGTCCAATATAGATCATTAAAAAGGGCTTAGCAACATGGGGATTTGTATTCATTAATATCAGTACTTCTCCTGAGATAAAAAGCTCTTTGAATTATAGGATAATTTGAACTTAGAATGAAAGAGAAATGCCAGGATTTCCAGCAGTGCTCCCAATCATCTAAAATTCAGGCCCATCTCTTTAGGAAAAGCTCCTTCAAGGCCGGGTGTGGTCCCAGCACTTTGGGAGGCGGAGGTGAGAGGATTGCCTGAACCCAGGGGTTTGAGACCAGCCTGGACAACTTGGTGAGACCTTGTCTCTACAATAAATCAAAAAATTAGCTGAGCATAATGGACAGACCTGCAGTTCCAGCTACTTGGAAGGCTGAGGTAGAAGGATGGTCTGAGCCCAGCAGGTTGAGGCTGCAGTGGCTGTGAGCATGCTGCTGCACTCTGAGCAACAGAGAGAGATGCAACTTAAAAAAAAAAAAAAGCCCCACCTATTTAGGAACAGCCCTATGATATAGATGTGAGTGTCCCATGTTCCTGACCAGGAATCTGAGACTCACGGCCATACTGCTGTTGAGTAGTTGAACCAGCACCAGTGCTCAGGCCTCCAGCTCCTGGGCCAACCAAATAGGATAGGATGGCCAGAGGAGGAATAGGCAGGAGCAACCAGGAAGCCAGATGTGCCGAGGACACAGAACAGCGCTATTCCATTCCCCTGAAGATTAGGGACCTTGCTTGACTCTAAACCCAGATTGTCAGTGGTGAACTGAGCACTTGACTTCCTAATCACATGCTCTGGGAAGAAGGACCGTGTATATAGTGGGCATGCAGAGACGTTACATTTGTTCATTGCTAGCTCGAGGCTCCATCCTGCAGGCCTGGCCCACAGTCAGTATTTGTCTTGATAATGACAGTGTGGGCTTGCAGCATCGTACCAGTGTGTTCTTAACCAGGTCCCAGCATCTCATGTTGACTCATCCTCGTCTGCAGACTTGCTGGCCATTTGAGAAAGGATGCGGAGGAGTTAAGATGGGGAGGTGTCAAATTGTTACTGAGACATTTCTAATTTGTGATCTATAGTTTTAAAGCCAACTCTTTTTTCCTGGTTTTTCCTGTTTTCTACAGCACCCCCTGGGGAAAGACATTTTCTGCTCCCACCAAGTTGGCAGGGCCTGCTTCCTGAGTCTCCTGGGTGTGTCTTAATTGCCAGTCCCAGCACCTCCTGAGCGCCCCGCTCTTTCCTCCAGTGGCCACAGTGGAAGGATCATGGGAGAAACAGAAGGGAAGAAAGATGAGGCTGATTATAAGCGACTGCAGACCTTCCCTCTGGTCAGGGTAAGCCCCAGGGGAGGGAGGCAGGATGGCCAGCAGGGCCCACACAGCCTGGAGAGAGGTGGGTGGCATTTGTCCCCTGCAGGATGGCAGTGGGAGGAAGTAAAGAGGCTCAGACCTAGAAATCTAGGAGTCAACAGTGATTCATTTTTCATTCATTCATTCATTCGCCAAGTATTTATTTAGGCCACCTACTATATGCCGGGCACTGTTCTAGGCACTGTGGAGATAGTGAACAGGACAGACAAAGGCCTGGTCCACATGAAAGAAATGTTTAAAAAACATAATTGCAGGCAGTAAGTGCTATAAAGAAAAACAAAGCAGGTGTAAGGGGCTGGAGAGCAGAGGTTAGCTCCTGGAGAGGTTTCAGACCTGCATAGAGTTAGGGGAATATGCCAGGCAGGGAGACGGCAGGCACAGGAAGCCCATGTGGGAATGAGCCTGGCACTTGAGGAACCGAGAGAAGGCCGGCGTGGCCGGGAGGCAGTACTGAGAGGGGTGGCAGGATGCGTGGGTCAGCGCAACAGTGGGGCCAGACACCCTGGGCTGGCCAGCCACCATGGAGAATACAGTGGAAAAGGGAGGTTCTGTCTGGAGTTGAAAGGGGAGCAGTAGGGGGTTTTCAGCAGAGGAGTGTAGGATCTGCTTTATGTTGTTAAAAGATCCTTCTGGCTGTGTGAGGAGAAAGGAATTTAGGGTACCAGAGGGGAAATGGGGAGACCACTGAGGATGCCACTGTGTCCTCGAGTGGAGGTGGGAGACATGACCAGATTCAGGACACACCCTGAAAGTATAGGCAGTAAGGCAAGGCTCACTGCTGGCATGGAAGCTGGGTATTGGATGCCAGGAGTCCAGGATGACTCCTCAAGTGTGTTTTTTTCTGAATAGTGGGAGAAAGATGGTGTTTGTTACCAGGAAAGGGAAGAGAAAGGAAGAATGGGTTTGTGGAAATCGAGTTATTTTTTGGCGTGTAAGTGAGGTTATCAAACGGGCACTTGGACAGAGGAGTCTGGAGCCCACAGAAGGGGTTAGAGCCAGGAAGGAAAGGGCAGGAACTCTCCCATGCAGAAGACACATAGGGTGAGGAGGATGAGATCCCCCAGAGCAGAATAGCTGCAGGAAGAGGGAGTATGGGGTCCAGGGCCCTCCAGTAATTAGGAGGAGGAGGGGATGCAGCAAATCAATGGAGAAGGAGCAGCCAGGAAGGCAGAAGGAAACCAGGGGCTCCCAAAGGCCGCCATGCTGCCTCCTCAACTTCTGGGTGAGAATCCATTGGAAACCATTTCCATAGCCAGCATCCCTCTGTGCCTGGGCCGGCCTTCTTCCCTTGTCTGTTGGCTGGAACATGGTACCCATGAAGCCTCTGCCCTGCAGGGGGCCTGGGCCCGAGAGCTCACCGGGCTCAGTGCAACTCCACACCCCTTCTGCCCCAACTGCAGGCCCTCAGTCAAGAGATGAGTCGCCTGCCCAGGGCTGTCCCAGGAAGCCCCTGGTGTCCATGCCTTAAGCGTGGGACAGAGAGGCCAGCCAGGAAGGCCAGGTCATGGGCTAAGCCTCTCTCTGTTTGTCACCCCTGCCTGTCTCTAGCACTCGGACATGCCAGAGGAGATGCGAGTGGAAACCATGGAGCTATGTGTCACAGCCTGTGAGAAATTCTCCAACAACAACGAGGTATTGCCATCAGTGCAGGCGGCCCCTCGTGCCTTTGCTGACCCCTGTGGGTGAGCAGAGTGGCCCCAGCTCCCTGCAGTCAGCTCCAGAGAGCCCTCTAGGACAGGCCAGAGCCTTCCTTGCACGTGCTCACCGTCTGGGGAAGGCAGGGAGAGAGGAGGCTGGTGCTGACTCTGGGCACCCAGTGCCAGAGGGAGCAAAGCCAGAGAGGTCACCATGGTGCCCCGACCCTTGTCCCACCTCAGGTGGGCTGCTGAGTCGGGTGCCTTTCCCCATGGCTCCACCCAGCAGTGAGCAGAGGCCTGCCAGGCATCCACTCATGTCTCCATTCATCCATTCACAAAGATGTTGAACACCACCTCTGCACAGGCACTGTCAGGCACTGTCAGGGGTACAGGGCATACGGCCAGTAGGCATCTACGCAGGAATGCCATTCGTCAACCTGGCGAGGAGCGAGAAAGAAATCAATCATAATGGTCTGTGAGGAGGCAGGTGCTGGCCAGTAGGAGCCCAGGCCTTGGGTCAGCCAGGCCCGAGTTCAGATTCTGTCTCCAGCCCCTCCCAACTCTGCACCCTTAAACAAACCACTTCCTATCTCTGAGTCCAGCTTCCTAGTTTGCAAACTGGCCGAGGGGCTGGGGGGGATACCTTACTGGACCAGTCACTTACTGATGGGGACAAAGTGTACAGCATGGTGCCTGGCACTGTGGTTGGTACATATCAGGCGCCCGAGCCGGGTACTCACCCTGCCAAGACAGGGTGCTCTTCCCCTCCTTAGACCTCTTCATTGGTTGTGGGAAGTTTCTGTCTCTCTCTCATTTTTTAAAAAATAGAAGCAAAGCCTTGCTGTATTGCCCAGGCTGGTCTTGAACTCCTGGGCTCAAGCGATCCTCCCACCTTGGCCTCCCAAAGCACTACGATTATAGGCGTGAGCCACCATGCCCAGCCACTGGGGGGAAGTTTCTTGAAAGAGGGAGCACAGGAAAAAATGGACGGTTGCCATGGCTAGGGGAGCAGTCAGCTCCTCCTTGGAGTCCGCCGAACATATTAGGCAGCTCACAGTGATGATGATTGCCCTTCACAGTCTGCAGTGTGCTCTTCCATCCATACATTCAGTTAGTCCTGAGAACAGCCTGGTGCCCCGGCTGTTCAGTTTACTAATGAGGCAATCAGTACCTACTCGGGAAGCCAACACTAAGCCAGGCCTCCAGACCTAATACTTGCTTCCCTGCCTCAGCCAGCTTCTTCTTAACTGCTGAGGTAATGTCTGAGGTAGCTTTCTGTCCCTGTGTCATAGCCCTGGCAGGAGGTAGCCTGCGTGGAAACCCTTTCTAAAGGTTCTGTGAGCAGGAAGACAACAGAACTAGGACAGCAAGCCTTGCTCTTGCCAAGACCTCGGTGCCAGACTCCTCCTTCCTGGAGAGGGACCTGACTCGTGCCCACTCTTGCCCCCACCCCATCTGATGAGCGCCCTCTTCCTTCCAGAGTGCCGCCAAGATGATCAAAGAGACCATGGACAAGAAGTTCGGCTCCTCCTGGCACGTGGTGATTGGCGAAGGCTTTGGGTTTGAGATCACTCATGAGGTGAAGAACCTCCTCTACCTATACTTCGGGGGGACCCTGGCTGTGTGTGTCTGGAAGTGCTCCTGACACTGTGGCCCCTGCCCCTGCCCCCATCCCCTGCAGGGTCTCTCTCTGCCGTTCATCTGGGATGGGGGGCAGCCCCAGGCAGGTCCTGGTTTTTCCAAGGAGAGTTGGGGTCTTTTCTTTTTGTCCTTGTGTACCAGTGTCCTGAGCCACGCCCAGTGTGTGAACTTGTTGACATTTCCATCCCAGGCTCTCGGTCACATCACTTAGAGTCCCAGGGTGTTGACAGGGCAGCAGGCGGTGGTCTCTATGGAGAAATGTGGGCGAGGAAGTGTGACAGGGTGAAGGAGGTGGGGGTGGGATTTTCTCACAAGGATGTGCCAGTCCCACCTTTCTTGAGGGCTGCTCTCCCCTCACATCCTGGGAGCTCCACTGCTCTTCCGTCCCCAGTACTGCTAGGAGCTGTCTGCTGTCCTTGTCATCAGTGACCATATGAAAATGGCCCCAGGAAGGATCTTCTCCTCTCAAGGGACACAGGCAGCTTCTTTCCTTGTCCTCTGGGGAAGTCCTGAGCCCGCAGAAGCCCCTTCCGCCAGCCTGAACAGACCACTGCGTCTCACAGGCCAGCAGCCCCAGGCCCCAGCCCTGGCATGTGGACCAAGCCGTCGCCCCCCATCCTCTCCTCTCTGCCCACCGCCAGGCACGAACCTTGACACTGCCTCGACCCACACAGTTGAGAGCCACGGGCTGGGTGTGGGAACTGCTCCACACAGTTCTCCAGGTGTCACTGAGCCTGTGGTGAGACACGGGCCAGGAGTGCGCTCACCATGAGGCCTGCTTCCGCAGGGAAACCTGGCTGCCAGTTACCTATCATCAGGGACCGCATGCTGATTTGTACTGTTATCTCTGCTGGGTTTTCTATATTCTTTTTCGAGTGTGGGGAGAAGGGTTTTAGTAGAAGGGTGAATTGTATTTTACACAGCGGTCTTATTTATATAAATGTCTTGCTTTTTACAATTAAAATTACCAAAAGCTGACCTCAGTCTATAGTCTCTTGAGGTTGGGGGGAGACGTGATCAGGCTTGAGTGGGTTCCAGGAGCCCAGAGATATTCTCGTTACATTTCTTTTTTTTTTTTTTTTTTTTTTGAGTTGGTGTCTCATTCTGTCACCCAGAGTAGCATACTCACCGCCATTCCAGTGTCGAATTGCTAGGCTCCGGTGATCTTTCCGCCTCAGCCTTCCAAGTAGCCGGAACTACAGGCGCATGCTACCACGCCCAGCTCATTTTTTTAAAATTTATTGTAGCGACAAGGTCTCACCAAGTTGCCTGGCTGGTCTCGAACCCACGGGCTCAGGCAATCCACTCGCCTCAGCCTCCCGAAGTGCTGGGATTACAGGCTGAGCCACTGAGCCCGGCCTCTCTCGTTAAATTTCAAGGCTGCTGGAAGCCCCTGACTGAAGCACAGCCCGGTTCCTGATGCCCAGCCCTGCCCTTGTCACTATTATGTCACTGAGGTTGGAGACTGAGTGCAGTTGAATGGGGCCACGTGGACACTGATGCCCTTGGTGGCCAGACTGCGCTGCTATAAAGGTATTCCAGACCCATGGAATTTAGTTCAGTTCAACAAATGTTTACTCAGCAGCCACTGGTGCCAGGCCCCAGGATCAGGGGATACAGAGATGGAGAAGCCACAGATCTGACCTCAGTGAGTGAACAGGCGACTGCAGAGGAACGCTGGGCCTGTCATTTCAACCGACGACGTGAAAAAAGACAGGATCGAAGATAGTATAAGGCATTTGGGGTGGGGGGGCGGGCTCCAAGTCCAGCCTGGGAGTAACAGGGGTCTCTAGTGGAATGAAGCCTGAACACAGACGTATGAAGGAGGAGCGAGATTTTATCAGGGGAGAGGGCTGCTCCAGGCCAAGGGGCAGTAGAGTAAATGTAGCCCACGAGAAGTGGCTCAGGGACAGGGCCACAGGCAGGGTCACGAAGCTCCTTCAGCTCAGGAGATGGCCCCCGAGTCCGAGTCTCAGACCTTAACATGCTGGATGTGGGCAGAGCAGGGGCAGCCTGCCTTCCCCATGTGCCTCCAAGGGGCCCTCCCGAGATGGCCCACCTAGGACACTCAGACCTGGAGCCAAGGCCCAGCCCAGTCCCACCCTTCTGTAACAAGATCTGTCGACAGATCCGCAGGGCCTAACTGCAAGCAGTTGCAGTTTGCTCAAAGCCTGGTGTGGGCAAGGAGGGAGACTGCTGCGGGGCGTGCATCCTGAGACGAGCACTGTGCGGCAGGTGGAAGGGAGGGAGAAGGAAGTCCCTGCCCCGCCGCTGACCATCTGCTCGGTGGCTTCAGAGCCAGTCCTAGCTCTCTGGGACTTGGGGGATAGGGCCTCTCCTTGACCTCAGGCCCGCCCTGGCCAGAGCCTGGTGCACACCAGTGCTGCTGGAGGGTCTGGCTAGCCGCACAGATGGGAGCGAAAGGAGAGAGGCGGGGGTGGCATGGGAGGTGGGGATGGGCGCTGGGGCCTGGAATAGCTCCGGCTGATTAACCGCCTGCTTTGCATCTGTTCTCTCCTCTGCTGCACGTGGGTGCCAAACAGTAAGGCTGGCTCAGCCCGCAACCAAGGTGGTGGGGGTGGCAGTGAGGAGTGTGGGCTCTGAGGTCCACAGATCTGGTGCACGTCCAGCCCTGCTCTTCCCACCCTCTCTGTGCCTCAGTTGCTCTGTCTGTAGAATGGGGATTAAAAGCACCGGCCTCACGAGGTTGGGAGTCCCAGGACTGCATCTGGAACAGTGACACCGCAAAGGTGTGTGCCACATCATCACTGTGCACCCTTCTCCCGGCCCCTGAGATGGGGTGCCGACAGCCAGCTTTCTCAGGACTGGGAGGACACTCAGTGGATTTGGGCTTGTGCCGTGCCCAGCCGAGGCAGGCACGCAGGATAGTGGGGCTAGGGGTGGTGAGTACCCCTCTCACCGTTGTCACTTCTGCCACTCCAGCAGACCCCTCCTCGCTTGCCTTCCCAGAAATGGGTCATCAACAGTCTCCTGCTCCTGCTCCTAGAGGGTGCTGCAGCCACTGAAGGGCCGGGTCGGGTGACCAGGGACCACAGCAGATGTGTTTCCAGAGGATTCCTCTCTCAGCCCCAGTGGCTTTACTTTCCTCCACTCCTCAAGGCCTGCACCAGCTGTGGTCATCCTGGCCCTCCTTCCAGACCCTCACTGCCCGTGATTCATCAAGCACTTGCTGATGGACTGAAATGGAGAGGGACATAAAGAAAGCACCTTCCTTGCCAGCCAGTGGCTCACAGTCCACTGAGGGTTCAGACCCAGGAACAGAAAAGCAAACACATTCATTTGCCAGAAGAGAGAAGGTGGCGGTCAGAATCAGAGAAGGGCGTGACTCTCACTGCCTGGGGGATTGGGGAAGGCTTCCCACAGGAGGTGGCACCAAACTTGGCCTTAGTGTTTTCTGGGGAAGGGATGAGACAGGGCAGGTAGGGGGACGTCTCCATTGTTTGAGGGGGCAGCAGCATGGACAAAGCAGTGGCTCGAGGAAGCCCAGGAGGTGTTCAGGAAAGTGGAGCAGTTGGTGTGGATCAGAGGGGAGAAGGGGAGGAGCAAAGAGCCGAGGGGGAAGGGGTTCAGGAGGAAAGAGGCTTCCCTCGGCTGGCCGTCCCCCACTTGGCAGGCACTGGGCTCCCTCCTTCGGGACCATGATGTCATGTAATCAGGAGACCTCCAAGTTGGAATCATTGTCTCCATTTACAACAGAGAAACTGAGGCTGAGAGAACAGAGTATCCGACCCAGGGTTCAGCCAGGAAGCAGTTATAGCCGGCCTGAACCCGGGCTGCCTCCCTCCAAAGTCCCTGCTCTTCCCGCAGGTGCTGCATTCTCTGGCCTTCTGTCACTCCCACCCCGCAGAAAATGGGTCCCCACAGACTGGACATGCCTCGGGCCGCTTCCTCCTGCCACCCCCAGACCTCCCCTCCCCCCCAGCCCCAGTGTTTCCTAAGTGGAGACAGCAACCAACGCCTGCAGCCACTTCCATTGCCCTCTGCAGTCTGAAGTGTGTGAGCGCCCAGCGTGGAGGGCATGGTTCAGCCCACTGACAGCTTGGCCCCTCTGCCAACCCGGCCAGAGTCACTGTGGAGAAATAGGCAGCTTTGTCTGGACACTTCTGGAAGCTGAGTCATAGGCCCCGACCCAAGAGCCTAACCTTCTGCCTGGTGGAGCAGTGAGCACCCCAGCTAGATCAGAGAGTGAAACATCGGTCCTTCTGGGGCATCACACAGATGCCAGGCCACAGGCCTCACCATGATTGGGGGGCATGGGTGAGGGGTACCAAGGCTGTCAGAGAAAGTGAAGAGCGAGGATTGGGTGACGAGGCCCTGTGGCCACCAAAGAAGTGGGCACAATGCCAGGGGCAGCTGGCTTGGGAGCTCTGGGGGCCCGTGGAGAAATCTGGTGAGTACTTCATGTGGCCCGCAAGGAGGTGTGGAGATGCCAGCATCCTAACCTACTTCCTGCTTCTCCAGAGGACAGACCCTGCAGGCGGGCAGGGAGTCCCCTTGGGTTGTGGGGGCCCAGCCCGAACCAGTGTCACCCCCGCCCCAGCAGGAGGGACTCAGCTGAGCACAGAGGCCGGTTCCTTAAGAGCTGGAGCAGGCAGCGTCCGGCTGTGTCCAGCCACAGGCCACCTCCCTGTCCTATTTTCCCTTTGTTCTCCCCATCCCATATTTAAAGCAACCACCTCCCACTGCCAGCTGCTGCCTTCAATCCTTAGAAAGGCTGAGGGGGGTGGAAGGAGAGCATGCCTGGGAGGCAGAAGGTGTGAATTGGTTGAATAATATTCCCAAACTATTAGATGCCCAAATGTACCAGGCATGGCACTGAGCATCTTACGGACTTGACCTCCTCTATCTGTACGTCCATGCTGTGAGCGCTCGGTACCCTCTCTTACAGACACCGTAGGCCTGTGACAGCTTTTAAACCTCTCCAGGGACTGCACACCAGCTGGACAAGCCACTTTGCTTCTCAGGTCTCAGTTTTCTTTGCAGCTCCTGCCCTGCCTCTTTCCTGAAGTTACTGTAGGGCCCCAGGAAGACAGTGATCCTGAATGTGAACATGCTTTAAAGCCAGAAGGACTGATCAAGGGTTTGTGTCAGGGCCCATCTGGGAAGGCATCCCCTCCTTGGGCCTCTACTCCAGGCACGAGGCTTGGGAGTCTGGGAGATTGGGCTGCCCAGGGCAGATTCTCAGCTCTAAGCCCTTGTAGGCACCTGGGCCCTGCAGAGCCAAAGCAAGAGAGGCAGGGTGACCACACATACACACATGCGTGTCCAAGGGCCCCAGATAGCTGGGGCCAGTCAAACAATCCCGACAGCAAGTGCATGTGAGGACTTGGCAGTTGTCTACACTGTTTGTTCTGCCAGCCTCAAAACAGCAGTGAAGAGAGCCCAGTAGGTTCCATGAGGATCCTCCTTACCTAACAGTGGGGAGTTGGTGTCACAGGGAACTTATGAAGTGCCCCAAGTAGGAGCTGGTGTCAGGTCTCCACTCTATACCAGCAGCTCAGGGACAGCACGAGTGATACCAGCTCCTCCAGGACCACTGCACCCCTGACACACAATTACTTGGTGTCCCCTGAGCCATGTCTTTTGTCATGTGTCTTCTCTGCCTCGCTTTATTAACTCAATGGCTGGGATTGTGTCCGATCTCTCTTGCAACCCTAATGCTTAAGCCCAGCCCAATGTTGAAACTGCCCCCTGACTGGCAAGTGAGTGGATGGAAGAAGGGATGGGTGGATGAGCAGATGGACAGATGAGTGGACAGACAGACGGGTGGATCGACAGATGGATGAACAGACAGATGAGGGATGGATGGTCAGGTGCAGGCCCTGTGTGGGGCTTGGGCTGGGTGGTCCTTGGACTGGGTGGTCTGCACCAGCTCAAGCCCCTGGAGCAGAGAGGACAGCACCATGCTTGCGACGGACAGCTGGTGGAGGGATGAACAGGTCGGTGGATGAAGACTT